GGGAAACAGCGAGTGGAGAGATAGGAACGAGATGAACACGGAATTAAGGCAAGCTCAAATAGAGTGCGTAAAAAACATTTAAAGTTGGCTTCCCGCCGTCAGCAGGAAGCACGAGAAATCCGGAAAAGAAAGTGAACGAATTCAAGGGATAAATCAATTACGCGGGCCGCGTTGTCGATATCACTAATATATATATATATATATATATATACACATACATACAAACATAAGTCGCCAATGATCTTTTATCATAATTATAAAAGGCAATTCAACAATAATCGACGATAATCAGCCAATTAAAAAATTAATTCGAAGCTAGCTTTTGGAATCGACTTTCGTTGTTTTGAATTTTCTTGATTAATTTCTAAAAATTCCTTCCAGTTTCTTTTCCCTGTTCTCTGTTTTCCTTTTTCCTTTTTGCTTTCTAAAAGTTAATAATAACTCGTCGTTATGTACAAATTTGGAAGAGTAGGGCACGTTATGTACAATGATTCTGGGACATCGAATCGCACACACCATCGACTTCTCTCGCGCGATTCGGATCGGCGAGCACAGCAGCTTGACTTTCACTCTGGACAGTGTGCTTTCGCGTCGCGGCGTCTCGATCCTCTTCTGGATCTTTCTTCCTCTCTGTCGCCATTCTCTCTCCATTCCGTCGTATTCCGTTCCACGTGTTTTTCAACTGGGAAAGGAAACCGTACGCGAACCGTTACCGCGTTACAATTAAACGTTAACTCACGCTCCGTGCGCTTTGTCAAGCGACTTGCTCAGCCATTAGCCTGACCAATATCTTGAATGCGAACGACATTGAAGGAACGAAAGATTGAAAGTAAATTAAAAACATCCAACGGAGACACGATACATTTAAGAAAAATTAAGGAGAGCACGACATATACAAAACAGTCGTAGCAGATTAATCTGAAATTAGATCCGGAGAAGGAAGATCTCTCGAAATTGAAAGGTGATCGGTTCTTCTCTCTGCGTTCAAATTTTCATTGCCATCTCCTCGAAGGAGAACCGAGAACGCCGCGACGCGCGAGATCGATAAGAGCTGCCCACCGATGACGGCGAACCATCTAAACCAACAAATTATCGTCCTGGCAAGCGGGGCCCATGCTGGGCCAGTTGCAAGCGGCCGCCCCCTTGTCGAAGGTCAAATGCACGGGGCATTTGAACACGTGCAGGGTGAACCTCTTCTTCCACTCGTCCCAATAGCACGCGTAGAACTTGTTGCAGAAGTTAGGGTGCCTGAAGAGACCCGGTCTCGCGCAGTTGTTGCTTCCGTCGATGATCTCCTCCGAGGCGTCATTCTCTTCGGAACTGGATTCGTCGACGGAACGTTCCACAGCCAGGCGTTTGCCGCTTAGACTCTTGGCAGATCTGAAGTTGGCAGTGAATCCCGAATTGGCGCGAGATCCTAGGAAGCTCGCGGAAGAGGCAACGTTCGTCGGCAGGTAAGTGAACGATGGCTTCCCTGGAGCTTGAGTGCTCGTGGCCCCTATAGCTTGCGAGAGTTCGTTGTAGATCTTGACCGGTTGCTTCGACGACGACTCGTGATTGGTCACTTGGTAATCTTGAGACTCGTAGGAGCCTTCCTTCTCAAGGTCCACGTAGATGTCCGACTCGTCGTAGTTGTACAAGTCGACCTTGCCCTTGGACGAGTTGATCAGCTTGGAGCCAGGGCCTCTGAGATTTGCGAAAGGATCCCCTCTGCAGGTACACTCGGCTCCTAGTTTCCCCAGGAGAAGAGGGTGCAGATCGCTCCACTTCACGATTACTTTGCCTCGTCCAACGGCCGTGGACTTGTCGGTGGTCTGATACGTCGTGAGAGAAGATGGCCTGGAGTATCCTGCGAAGTAAGTTTCAGAGACGGTTGACGGCGTCGACGAGCCATAACTCTGCCGATTGGCCGCGTAACCGTCGCCGAATTGGCTCGACACGTATTTCGTAGTGCCTCTGTTGTAATTGGTAACGAGCTTTCCAACTTCGTCCCTGGCGATTGCCACGTTTGCAGGCGAACCCGATGGGAGTGGCGTCGATTGTTGATAGCTGACACCGGGCAACGAGAACGGCGTTCCGTAAGTTACTCCAATGGCTGGTGATGGGGTGGTAGGTCCATAGTTGTACTAAAATGTTTCATTCAGGAATTACAACAGAGCTACACCTAATGATAAAAGTCGACAATCGACATATCATACCTGCGGTTCTCCAGCTGGATACATTGACGATACTTTAAACACAGGCGTTCCAGTTTGAGTACCAAATTTATCTCGACTTATGGTTACAGGCACTTGTGTAGAAGATACGACAGTCTTGTATCCAGTGTCGATCACTGGCTGAACCGTAGAAACAGTGACGGGGATCCTAGCCGCTTCGAAGACGGTCGTTTTGTAATTCTCCAATGGTCCGGTGGTATAGAGCAACGGCGTGCTAGTTGCAGTCGGGGCTCGCGTGAAACCGCTTGGCCTCGGATACGTGCTCGCAATCGTGGATGAACCGATAATCTCACCGAATTTCGGTGTGTTGTATATATCGACACTCAAGAACGGCGTTGGGGTAGTTACACCAACGACGCCGCTCTCGGTCGAAGAGATGGGCAAATTCTTCGTGACTCCCGTGTCGAACGGAATGCTGGGCGTAGGATAAGAATAGCCTAAACTGCCTGGTCTGTACGTCGAAGTTGCTACCGTGTTAGCGCTGCTTTCGGTGGACGATTTCGTGTATCCTGCCACGTTGCCTTCGAAAGCTTTCGCGCCAATGTGGTCAGGATTAGGCGCAGGACTTGTCCTTCCAGTGCTAATTACGTAACTACCACCCGCGCCCAAAGTAGCAGTAGTGAAACCTGTTTTGGTAGGTCCAGTTTTAGTGAACCCAGTGGAAATAATACCGGGACTTTTCCTTCCTGGAAGAAGAGTATCTGGAGGAATCGCGCCCCCGCTTGGTCTGTAATCTGGAATATCGTTCTCCGTGTACTTGGTAGTCACGTCGCCGTTGTTGAACTTGATGGTGCCGCGTCCTCCGTTGTCGTGATACTCGTTGGTCTTGTAACCGGTATCGAAAGTCGACGGTGTGGTTCCAATCTTCGTTCCAAACGGCGATCCTGGCGTTGGGAAACC